TGAGTATTCGGTGGGAAGACCACGAATAACAGCATTCACCACATCACGTTCAGGGATCTCTTCTTTCAAGGCATCGAGATCCGAGAGAATAGTTGCCACATCATCAAGGTATTGTGTCATAGTTTTGGTACCTTTACGAAGAGTGTGGAGTTTGTCCCGAAGCTGATAAACATGAGCGGTGGACACGGAGTTGTACCGTGCGGCCAAAGCATCCCAGAGGGCAGCAGATGTGGTGAAGCCGCGAGCATGTTTGTGAACGGAGGGGCTGATGACCGCTAGGAGGCAGGCGCGGATCTGTGTGTCAACGATGGTCCAGGAGGTATACTCTGGATTAGGGACGGTTTTATCGTTTTTGGAGATAGTTGGCGCCGGGGCTGCTTCATGACCATCAATCCATCCAAGGAGGAGATTAGCTGAAAGAGCTGTCTGGACATTGAGAGACCATGCCGGATAATTTGTTTCGGTGAGTTTTTCTGGGATTAAGTTGTGGAGACTCCGAAGTAAAAGTTTTACTCCGGAGGGTAAGGACGCCAAAGGATCCGACGGGGCTGCCATGGTGGGCGGCGGTCGGAAAAAAAAGAGAGGCTAGGTTTTTGAGAGCCTTAGCTCCGATACCATGATACAATTTGATAATAACTTATCTTATTGAATATTGAGAGATATGGCCCTATATATAGGGAATACAAGAGTAATCAAAGTACAAGTAGGAATAGGAAAGAATAATTCTAGTAGGAAAGGAAAGAAGTATCCTAATTTAATTATACTTCCTAATAATAACCATTACCAATGCTCTTACTACTAGTACTCCTAACATATATAATAATGTCTATTTGATGACGTTGCCAAAATGCCAAATTTAGGACATTTTTTTAAGTGAACTTGGTCAAAAATAAAGTTCAAAATTTGGCCTTTTGATAAAAAATGTATTAACAAATGGGTGGAGCTCTAGGATGTGCTTGTTTGAGTAAAGGGGAAGGAAAATAGATAAGAAGAAAATTTCAAAATTTTTATTGTAATTGATTTCTCACCCATCGGTATAATTCTTCGTTGCTCGCAACAGAATCACTCAATATACATATAAAAAAATACAAAAAGACGATATAGATGCTCAAATAAGAGTAAGAATTTTTGTGTCCTGTTTATGATAGTCGGGGCAGGGGGATTCATAATTACTTTGCCAACCTTCGCTTGATGCACTTTTTGTGGAATTTGATTGTGTTGGTTAAGAGAACTGTCAAACCATCTCCCCAAGCCATTTAGGGGGCGTTTGTTTTTCTGCCAGAAGACCTTCTGGCGTCTTTTGTCTGCGCCGCGCATACGCGCGCAGACGATGGGCTCTGCAGATTGTTTGTTTTTTGGAAGACATTTCACTCAAAAAGGTCTTCCTGGCATTATTCTTGGAGAAGACATTAACCAATGTCTTCTAACATCTTCTCCTTTTTTTTCTACTTCTCTTCACCACCACAACCGTTCACCGCCACCGTCCACCACTATCACCGTCCACCATCACCGTCACCGTCCATCACCATCGTCGTCCACCACCACCGCCACCACCA